ACAACACAGAAGGCCATTCAACAATGCTGGCTCTGGAGCGGCAATTCAGCTAGCCCTGATGTCTTTCCCAATCTCCATGATATTTTGACCCTTTTAGGTAATTATCAAATCCTCTTTAGAATTTAAGTTAGTGCAGTCCAGATTCTAGCCAATAAGTACTTTAAAAGTTTATTTCTCATGTCTCCATTAGTTCTTTTGGCAATTATCTTAAATCAGTATCCTCCGATTCGCAACCCTTCTATCAACAGGAATGCTCTCTCTCTCTCTCTCTCTCTCTCTCTCTCTATCTACACTGTCTAGACAGTTCAATATTTTAAAAGCTGTATCAAATCTTCTTTTAACCCAAGGAGAATAAGCCCAGCTTCTAACTATTCTCTAAGTGAAACTCCTCATAAGTGGAAAAATTCTCAAAAATCTTTTCTGTACCATCCCTAATGCATTCACATCTTCTCTAATGTGGAGTAATGAATTTCACATATTAGTTGGAATTTAATGCCAATTGTGTAGGTCACAGTGGTGGACTAAGGGACAGTATGGTCTTTTGGAGTGATAGTGACCAGCTGAATACATTCTGAGGAAGGGTCACCGGGCCTGAAACATTAACTCTGATTTGTCTTCACAGATGCTGCCAGACCTTCTGAGCTTTCCTAGCAACTTCTGTTTTTGTTCCTGAATGCAATCTGTTGCTGGCTGGTCAATTTAAAAGATGGAGGTTCAAATGTCATGGCCAGGAAGGAAGGTGTTGTATGTGGTGTCAGGGAGCAGAGTTGCTGGTGCCATTTATAAAAGGAAGCCAGAAACTTTTGCAGTATATCAAAGTATTCTGCAGCATTGTGGGAGCCACTCCAAGGACCCAAATTCGAGAACAAATCAACAGCATTCATCTCCAAGGCACAAACCATAAATTTTTTAGACCTAGGTCATTAATCTGCGAAATGTAAGTTGTTCACTTGCAAGATCATCAGCCAGATCAACAGCTTTCAATCCCACATCTTCAGAGCTCAGTCCACAAAGCAAACCAGCTGGTTATTATCAGAAAAATATTGCAGGGCAGACAACTAGTGGAACAATGGTTCAATGACACTTCTCTGGACATTTTCCTCTAAGCTGCACTGGAACAGCAGGTAATGTTGTTCTGAGCCAAAGACAAGAAGAGATCATACTGTTTGCTCAAGGAATTCCAGATGGAGACATCAACAAGGTTGGCAATCATAGGGTCCAGCAGCACGGCTGAGTCCATGGTGGGAGCAGGTGAATTACTTTCTCTGCACCGTAAGGATGAATACATTGTGGCTTTCGTGCGGACAAAATGTGACTGGTCTCAACATGATGAGTGATTGGCCAGGTGGGTAAAAGAATAGTAAGAATAAAATTAGTAAGACATCCAATTTAAGTTTTTCTATTACAACTGATACTCTCTATATATTCTTTAAGTGAGAAGTATATATTCTAGACAGAGAAATCCTGAACTCTTAAAATATCTGGAATGTTTATAGCAAACATAGGCTTATTAAAATTAAGCAGGTTATTGGGAGGAAGTTAGCAATCTCAGACAACTTCTTCATCTTTGGGATAGACATGTCAATCCTAAGGTTGTGTTTGTGGGATTGACTGAGTTGAATTCAGCAGACAGAAGTTATCCAGGAAATGCATCTATCTAAATTAGCTCTAAAAGCTAAAATCTAAAATTCACTTCAATCTGCTGCTGCTTGAAAGGTTTTGAGGTTGGTTGGGTCGCCGAGCTAGTTTGTTGTTCCGCAGACATTTCGTTACCGTGCTTGGTAACATCCTC